TTTCTAAATGTATAAAATCTGAAATAGCTCTTGGCCAATGAAAATTTTATTGTAAGTACTAAACAGTTATAAAATTAAACCTAAATCGGTAATTCGGAGCTTAAATATTAAACTCTTCTCTGAGAATACACAGCGGTTTTGTTGTAGATTATATATATATGTATATGTGTCGTTAACAGTTCTGGCACCTGCCTATGCCATTATAATATTTTATCATGTCAAAACGTTAAGTTTTGAAGTACATAAAACTCAAATAAATTTTAATGTAGATCACACGTTATTTTCACGTCTTATATTTAGTACCCAACGTTTTGTTGATAGTTAGAATATCATCAAATCACGTGTATGGGATAATGTCTTGTCGTCTTGACATATAATATGCAATTATAGTTGGTTGTTAATTGTTAGTAAGTTGCAATTAAATTAAATATTTTAATGAAAATATAAATTATTAAATATTTATCCACAACACAATATTAGTATTTCTATAATATTCATTTTATAAACGAATATAATACATTAGCATAGGTATAGGTAGATCATTTCAATATGTTGAACTGTTGAAGTTATATTCTAATTTGTGATAAACAGTTTTCAAGATATATTTAATTTAATGGTTAGGTTAATCATTTTTTAGGCCGATTTAATGTTTAATAATAATAGTTACTGGTAATTGGTATTATCATAAAGACATTTGTATCCATTTAAAACTATTGTTTAAATAAATACTGTACCATAATAATTGATTTTTAGTTACATGGCATACGTGTATGTATTAACATATTTTTAATTGTGATAATATTATGTACGTAGTTTTTATTAATTTAGGTCTCAGTAAAAAGTCTGAATTTATATTTTAATGTCCTATCTATAAAATTTAACGTGTTAAGCCCGTGTGCATGTGATGTTTACTCCACACTACAGAAATAAAAATTATAGTAGGTATTATTATGGTTTCGAATCGCCTTAAAATAATTATTTATGCATTAAAATACACTAATGGGAATTTATTAATTTACTTCCACTACTTGATTAGAGATATCGTCGTATTCTAATGTTATATAACACTACGAATGTGCGTAGGACAATATAGATAATAAATAGTAGATACCTACACAGAACAACTCCTCAGTGTCATAGAAGATAGAAATGAGTCACAATATTTATGCAGTACACAAATTAATTATTAAATTAGATATTTTTTTTCAAATAGGTAAACACATTATTTATTGTTTAATAGGTATTAGTTTAATAAATGACTCATTTATCGTCATTAATTATTCAAACTAATGTAATATGTTATAAATAAGCAATATATTTTATTTCATTTTTAATTGTCTTGGAATAGCATTATATTATGAATTTTGTTCATAAAATTAATCAACGTACTCTTGTTATGTTTATGTTAACCTATGACCTATCAGTATAAGCTACAATAATTTGATTATTCTGTATTCAAAGCCATAAAACACCTAACCTGGATAATACCGCAGTATTAATACATACTGATATTTATCGTGCGTTTGAATAGAACATTATTTAACGCGGGAAAATTTTTCTATAACCATATTGTATTCAATGTATTCAAAATGTCGAATCGATCATAAAATATTTTATTTTTACTTATTTGTAAAATAGTGATATATTTTGCCTGTCGGTTTTCTACAGCTACTAATTATTGATAGTTAGTTTAATAAAATTAATAAAAAATAATATTGATTTAATTGCACTGAATATTTTTGTCATCAGTAGAATTTGTTGTTGGAATGTTAATAATTTCAATATTTTCTTGTAATTTGGTTTACATTATTTTTTTTTTTTACTAAAAACTGATAGTGATATCGTTGTGATGGTCTTCAGCTGCTCCGTTGGCCGTGCTTATAGTTGTATAACGCGTTAGCCCCGTAATACCACGTGTTCAATAAACATATTTTATTGAATACACATGTGCAGGACTTATTGGAATCTTAGCCTCTCCGCAGAAGAAATGTAGTAAAACCTTAGTAGGTAGTCGAATTTTCTAAAAACTTCAAGTGTACATAATTTTAATGCACCATCAATCACTGAATATAATAATACTATGTAGGTACATAAATATATAGTGTTTTGAATCACGCGGCATATTGTTACATATCAGCTGCTACGTTGACCAAAAATATTGTCACGTAGTTAGGTATTACATTATATCCGTAGTAAATTGAATTCGACATTGTTATTTGTTACCGAGTACAGCTGTTGTTGTTGTTATGTGCGTGTGTGTTTGAGCGTGCGTATGCACATGGTATGCCAAATGCCAAACAAATATTGGAATATACAAAAACTCCTTTTGCCAAGCCTATTTTGTTGTTTCTCCTACGCATGTATGCGTTATACATTTTAATTCATCGATATATATGTATATAAAGACTCCAGACATATTTATATATTTTCACTAATGTAAAGGAATAAAATATACGATCAGCGATAAATGTTWTTTTTAAAACCATCAACAATTTCAGTGTATATTATATTCGTAGAATAGATTTATCCGTTGAGGCCCAATAAGTGGTCAACTGTCTAAGTATGTATTTTTCTCTAAAATTATAGTTCAAAAAATGTAATATCATGTTTTATTTAATGCTGCAGGTTTGTTAAAAAACAGTTTTCTTGTAAATGTGTAATTCATATACAGTACAGGGATATATGTATACGTATTGCTAATCATTGTTTTCACTTGGGTACATTTTGTCGCGTACCTATCCGTAAACATACCCATTGTGTTATAAATAACCATTCCCTATTAAACTGTGAGTTGTAGAACTGACAATAAATAAATTCGATATTGATTTTTATTTTGTTGCATTAAAACTCGGACAAATGCATATAAATTACATTCTGTTTACGACCCTTAGATTTTGGCAATAGTTTGTGCAAGAGAAAGTAAAAGATAAATTATGATTTTATATTGTATTGCGGATCGCGTTATAAACACATCAACATAAAAAAGACAATAGGTGTGGTATAAAAGAAGAGAGATACGGACCGAGAAAAATGTATCCAGATAGAGTAGTAATAGTAGTGAGTAAAAAAACCGGTTCATTTTGCCGGGTCATACTTATGTCAAGGGTACTGCAGACAGAAATTATCGTGTTATTGTACCATATCCTGTTCCGTTTTTTTCAATTTATCAGTACAGGCACTTACTTTCTTTTTTCTTTTTTATTTTCTTACATTAATTTTTGTTTAATTGTATTTTCTCGTTTCATCTGATTCCATAATATATGAATTACATGTATATAAAAGCAATTAATTAATCTATTAATTCTTCGAGATTCAATTTGTATTTGTTTCTTCTATACTATTTATCCACTAATCATCATGTTTTATATGAGCACTTCGTGATTGTATATTCATCATAAATGGTTTGCCCTTCGACCTAAATTACAGATATACTTATCTAAATGTATAGTATTGACGTATTGTATTAAAAAAAAAATAGTTCACGATTTGAAATGTTGTTTCTTCGGGCAATTTGGTCATCAAACCATATCCTACACAAGTACAAAAATTCTGTGATATAACAATAGAACTTGATAATAATAATAATAATAATAATAACCTAATAGGTTTTATTTATCTTTATAAATGAATAACATTGTTTATTAATATATTAATTTACATTTTATGTATTGCTTAACATATTAATTATAATATATAATATAACTAATACATATATGTACGTTTTATTTTGAGAATTTAAATACACTTACACTTATTTTATGTTATTAGAATTCGTATAGCTGATCTTACAGTGTAAAATAGACGGATTTATTGTCTTCACTTTTAAAAGAGTTAATTACATATGTTTATGTTGTGTATGAATACCTGCATGTAATAGTGTACACTTGTACACTTACGAGTTGATAGAATGGGATGCATTATGCTTATAGGTAATAGTATTCTCATAATAATTATATTGCTTTATAAATAATAAATATATATATATATATTATGTAAGACTGGTTATGTCTCATATATAATTTTATAACTACATAAGCTAGTATTTTCTTTAATTTTGTTCTTTAATATTGATGTTTATTTTTATTTTATTACTTTTTTCGACATTTTAGTGAGGAYTGATGAACGTTCTAAACTTGAAGTAATATCATTAAATGTTTCATTAAATTTAAAACCATAATTTATCTTGTGTGAATTGAATCGTTTCGTTTATGGGTGCGTTTTTACCACGGTTATCTAGTAGATAACTATAACTATAGTGTAGATAACCGTGGTTTTTACTCTTTCTAATTAGTAATTCATTCGCGTCTGTAAATTGAGATTTCGTTTTGATTGTTTTCGTTGGATAGAGTTTCAACTAACACAGGATCATTAAATTGTAAGTGATACTCAAGATAGAAAAATGTCTTTAACATGAAACTGCGTACTATAAGCAGGTAATAACTTCATTAGGTATTTAAAAACATTATGAAATAATTATGTCTGATGTCGTTTTTTATTAAATTACTGTAATTTCTTATCATTTATGTACGGTGCAATTGACAAAAGAAGTCAAAGTAATGGTTGATAATATTTTACTTGTAGTGTAAAATCATTAATGGCAAATTGAATCACCGTTTATCCAGTATTTACAAATTTAATTTATCAAATTTAAAACTATAATTTTCTTATTTTATTTGTATTTTCACTATACTTATTATAATATCGTTTTCTTCGTGTGTGTCGGATGGTGATGACAAATTTAACGAATTATTAAAGATTTCAATTACATAATGTTATAATATTATATTGCATCAAAAATGCGTATAGGCAAATATTGACATTACTCATTCATTTTCCGTTATGCTTATTAATATTAAACATTTATTTATTTTGTTTTTAATGTTTTTTATTTACATCTTTGGCAATGGCCATTACAGTTATTATTATTATTTTTATATTTTGGTTTTTTTTTTTTTTAAATTTTAAAATTAGGATGATACTGTCCGCATTGAGTTCAAGTGCTGCATCTATAAGGTATTATGGGTAAGTGGAGGCTATTGATTTCGTCTATGTACTGGAGATATTTTGATATTATTATTTATGTATCATAATTTCTAAGTTTCTATCGTTCACGAAATTAGTTGTTATTTGAAAGAGCTGATCAACAGTGAATGTAATACAAAATAATATATTAATATAGGTAACAAGCCAACAAACCTATTATATAAGAGTACATAATAGAATAACGTTATTGTTCAAATTATTTGACCATAAACACAAGACTTATCATGTCAAGGGTATGTGTGTAGGTAATGCATTAATTAGTGGTATATTAAAGAAATAATTTGGTACTTTCAATTATAAAATATGACAGTCTTCTAGGACATACGTATCGCATATATATTTTTTCTTATAGTTAACTGTAATATATGTATACATCAAGTTTGGAATTAGATAAAAATTAATATTTTCCCATCGAAAAGTTCAGGTTAATTTTCCTTATATACTCCTTAGTCCTCAATATACTAAGTACACCTATATATTATAAAATTGCATGTACCCATTTTAGTTTACACCTCATACTTAACTACCGATTTTTTATTGTATTAAAAAAATTGTTCGTCAAGTATTAATACGAAGTGTGTGCTAAGGGGTAACTACTGAATATGCTGAAGATTGCATAATTTTTGTATTGTAATTTTTCCTGCATTTCCATTTTTATATAAAAATTTTAAAGTGGTTTCATCACTCCCACTTAAGATGTCCACAAAGCTTAGAACATATTTTTTTTAAATTTGTACGTAAATCAAGAGCTCTCAGCATTCAACATACTGCTCTGCTCTTGATGTCTTCTATCGTTATCCCAGCAAAAAAGCAGATTCTTACTCCAAAAAAATAAATAAATATTTACGAAATCTCTCTCCGGTTCTCAAAGTGTTTAGTATTGTATATTTATTATTTAATATTTTGATTTGCTTGAGGGAATAAAATTACTTTCGTCGCTAGTGCTTGTATGTCCCGTAATGTGTGACTCATCTACGGCAAAACGCTTTTACTACGTCTTCGCGTTTCCTGTTAAGCGCCTACGCGTTAAGTCCGCATTTGACGACCAGCTCCTCTTCTCAGATATACACCGTGTATATCATTGTTACCATTGTTTCTTATGTAGGTACCCGCGGTATGTTTATCGTGATTATGCATGTGCGACGACGACGATGACAAAACAAAACGGTCATTATTCAGTCCGTAAGACTAAAATAAAAAACATTTTTTTTCGTCTTCGCTCTCCAGATACGCGTATGATGGACCGTATGTATCCTATTATTCTTATAATATTATACTTTCACTTGTTCTGCTGCGCACTTTTTATTTTAAACACTCGATGGTATACCATAATAATAGCAATTGTCGGTTGTCGTATATAATATAATATATAATAACATTATGTATGTAGTATAATGTTTGTTTATTATGCGTTCGACGCGCCCTGCGTATATTATTTCGTTATACCTACGAAATAATTTCCGATCATCGGCCCCTCCGGTGAAGCTCTCGTTGTTATCTAACTCGTTTAAATAATAAATAATAATATTGCATACGTACTATATACTACCCAGAGATAGAAAATTATAAATTATAATACTACGCATAATATTGTATCCATCATAGTCCTAGACTTAGCGTAACCTGTTCGCCGCCGCCATCACACGACTAGTTTGTCCCGTTATAGAGCTGCTGGCCCCCGCGTATAAATGCAGATGTATATGCACATCATCATTGCGAATAGCGCGTWATATTTTTATATATGGTATACGTACTCGTATATAATAAAAATAATAAAATATAAGTATAACTAATATATATGTGCGGTGTACGAGGCTACCRCCTCCGCCTCCTGCTCGCGTTTGGCGAAGAACTCTATCCTCCTCGAGAATATATATAGTTCCTGCCATTGTGCTCCTGGTCGTGAGGTTCAACAACCAGGTACCAATACATTTTATATACGGGTGTATACTGTATGTATTATACATGGTACCTAGCCATAACTATATGCGTATGAATCGTATGATAATAATAATGATGTGATGTTCGTGCATTGGTATTGTGTGCCGCCGTCGGRAGGTTCGCGTCGTTGTCGTATACGTATTTAAAAATATTATATTATTTGGTTCATTCTGTTTCTTCGAATGTTTTATTTGAATCTGTATTTAAATACGCCTCTTATTAAGTATATACAAAATATAAACCTACGTCTCAATTTCTGATACGCTTCAAAATTATTTATTAGTATATAAACAGGGTGATTTCGTGTTTATCATTAATCAGACTATATTATAACTGAGGACTTATTTCATACATTTTTTTTTTCAAACGATTACAAATGCGGGTCGTTGTCTCGTATATTTTGGTGTATATRTCATTGGTAATTAAACGTTACCTACAAGTTGAATTTTGAATATATTTCAACACTAACGACACGGTGCTTCAGTACAAAATGTCCTTTAAGACCATACTATTTAACATTTGTATGTATGATTACGGTTGTCTCAAACTTCCAACATTTTAAGTTAATTATAAAAGATTCATTCTGTATAATTATTAAACCACCAAGGGCGTTCGTCATTTATATGTGTAAGCGGTTTCAACTTGGTCATCACTGGCCGAATAAATGTGGTTTAATACATGAACGAATGTCGTCATTCATTATTATTATTCATGTTAAATATTATCATCTTGTACTGCAATGTAAATTCGGTTCTCAATAACATGTCCATGTAGAATGTAGATATTATATTCCGTGTCCAACAGTGTGGCTGTTATAATATACCTATATTGGCTATTAAGTATTAGGACAATACAATAATAATAACTTCTTCCTCAACGGAAGAGTGCAGTACTTGTTTTTAYTAATACTATAATAATTATTGATTTTTTTTACAGGAATTTTCTGTCGGCACTGCTGTTCTTACGACCAACGGGAGAACCTACAAATAGCTCCGTACAACCATGTCGGCGGGATACCGATCTGGAAACATGCCTGGCGAAGTCTTATTTCAGTGGTTTTCTTGCTGCGTAAACCAACGTACCCAACAGGTTATTATAAAAACGATTTAAATGTTTGCCTGTTCTAAAATTGAGTACTTTCATGAGAGCTTTTATTAAGATTATATAGTATATTATGTTTTAAATACATTTTTTTCTATATTATGTACCTCCAGTGTTCTATATCTGTTTTTAAAGAAAACAATCTCTGTTTGTTTTAGTTATAGGTATGCAGTTTTCATAAAAATTAAATTTTATTAATTGTATTTCTTACTTCTGATTACTTATTAAATTTTAAGTATAATATTATTATATACGATAYCAATAGATAATATTATAGAATAAATCCTATAGGTCCTTTTTTCAAACCATAATGATGCCGAAATCAAGTAGGTACTTTCAAAATTATTATCAGATATACAATACCTATAGAATGTATATTTAAAATTTCTGAATTAATATATACGCTATATGTAACAAACTAACAACTATAAATTGAAGAATTTCTCTTCACGGAAATTTAAATAAAATTCTTCTATAATAAAATTTAAAAAAAAGACTATAAAAGGTGAAAATTATGCAAATTTATGTGCCACAAAAAATTCCTCTGACATCCTTAGCAATACCAAATATAAAAGAAAATGTCAAAACTATTATCGCTGTTATATGGATTTGTATATAATATATTATAATATAGTTTTGTGAAAAAACCGGTTTCTCGGCTCATTTAACGAAATAATATTTACATATTATGTTCTTTACGTAATTTATTTGTGTATCTACCCATAGTCTATGCTAAGAAAGTTGTTTAAATTTTAAAAGTTAAACTTATAAATTTATAATCCGCCCATTTGGGAGGGGGAGGGGGCACTTGCCTCCCCCTGTAATAAAAATCGAAAATTTTGTTATTTCCCCCCCCCTGAAAAGTTACCTATGAGCGCCCATGCTTACAAGTTATAATGCATGTAATTTTATATTTATATCTAATTAAATGACAGTAATTTTAAAAATATTTATTCATTTATTAGAATAATATAATATTATATTATGCTACCTAATTTTAATGTATACGCCGTGTAACAGTGTGTTAGTTGGCTGATGTATATAACCAACGAATGTACAGTGAGAATACTATATATAATATATATGTATATGTATATATATTATAGTATTATAATATAATATTAAATATACTGCATTTTGAAAATCGCCTAATACCWAAACATATACCAATACTTACAAAAAAAAGTTTTATTACCTAACCTATATGTTGTTAAACATATTATTGGTAATTAACACGTTTACGTGTATCGTTTTATTTCTTTGTTTTAATTCGAGTTTTGTAATGTGTCAATAGGGCAAGCGCCACGTGAGTCGAGTACGCATTGATCGGTCTATGATTGGAGCCCCCACAAATTTTCGGCATACCGGTCACATAGGTTCATCCGATGTCGAAATGGGATCGTCCAGATTGCATGCCATTCACGGACAGATGCAATCCAAAGGCGGTTATGAAGCTACCATTGAAGTGATTAATTTTTATTTTATTTACTTATTGTCATTTGTCATTGCATTTAAGATTTTTGTATTACAAATTTACAATGTCGACAACTATAAAGCTTATTAGTTATTTAGGTTTTTATACGATTTCACAGAATTTCGTTATAGRCTATAATTATTATTTATCGATTCACGATTTTGAATTCACCGAAGTGAATTTTAATTGTAAAACATCGTATTATTTAATCGATATAATATAGAATTTTTTTTTTTTTTTTTGACAAGACGAAACAACGATTAAATTGATTAATAAATAATAATAATATTGATTAGAATATAGTTGCATCATAACACTTCAGTGCAGGTTCTCTACAAATGGACAAATATTCTAGTTTATTTTAATTATATCTAACAGAATCGTTTTTAAAATGATAACAATCAATAATATTGATAATTGACTTAACTATTRTCGTTAGTGAGAACATCGCGCACTCGTGCCTATTCTAAAGCGAATACCATGATTTATCGTGCGAGTCATATGTATAAGCTGTTTGTTTTTTTTCAGGCTAATTGAACTTGCCATAAATCAATCGAGATGAGAACTGTGATCGGAAAACTCTCTTCATGAACCTAACACTATCTTGGGACTGTTATTCCATATTTTTCTTACTGCAGTCGCCAGTGTGTGGAGGAGATCCGTCGTCGTAGTTTTATAGACTAGTGTTTATATACATTCTTTATTATTATAATAAATAACTATTATTTTTTACTTTATTTTTAAAATTTTATTTAATTCGTCAAGTATAGTCATGGCCACCTTTTAGTTCGTGACAGTCAAACTTGATAAATGTCTTATACTAGTCTGGTTTTATTTATATGAATGTTTTTACTTATTATTTTTTTTTATTTGTATAAAATAAGTTTTGAAATTAGTCGCGATGTCTTTATAATCTCTCTTTAGTCTTTACAGCATGCCAATTTTTATTAATTTTCATGTTACAATAATATGTTATATTATGTTGTTGCCATTGTGAAATAATAATAATTATATGACGATGATATGATGAAAATCAAAACGATTATATGATAATTTGTAGTTTAAAATGCTATACTCATGAGTATAGCATAGCATTACCTCGAAAACACCGATAAACCTATCAGAATCTTTATTATAACTACAAATAGATGTTTTTTACTATATTATATACCGTTTTAAAGAAGACAATACAGATTGCTACTTATTACCTACTATATAATTACTAAATTTTGTGTATTGTTTGTATTGTCTAAAAGTATGTAAAATCAATACTTTGTGTTGTAACTCCTTACGATTTAAGCTAGTTTTAAGAATTGTTTAATCAGATATATTGCATTTAAATGACCATCTATTTATAATACATGTACTAGTTTTAGATATTTGAAAATGTAAACACGTACACTGCCTAAATATTGTGAGCTCAAAGTGTGTATGTTCTACTGTACATTTTTATATGTTTCAAGTAAGTTTATAATATAATGTTCATATTTTAAAACAAAACTGCTGAAGTGTATCTTAGAATATAGCATTATGTATTAATATGTAACGCACAATAAACTATGAACTTTTTATGTTTGCATTACCTATATATATATATATATGTATTATGTAATTAATACAATTAACAATATGATATAATATAATATGGTTTTCTGTATAAGAATTTAACTTTTATAGTTTTATTAAAATGACTGAAAATGTGAGAAATATTATATACTATACTCTTTAAATGGGTTTTCACATTTACAATATCCTAAAAATATTATCTAGTAGTCTATCTAGTGCTTAGATTTCGCACAAAACTGACTGTCTTGGTGATGTTCRATGAATTCTTTCAGTAATTGAATAAGGATTCTTACAATTTAAAATAAGGACCTAAGTAACAAATGAAAAATTGTAGTATACATTTTTGTAAAATTTAAATATGTCACAAACATGTAGTTTGGTTTTACCAACATATAGGTACATATAATGTTATATTTGTTGCTGCTTGTTTCAACAAAAGTTCTCTGCATACCAAATTGAGGAGATTTTGGCCTGAGAAACTTCAAAAGTATACCGGCCTACTTATTAATTTAGCTATTATTGAATTTCATCCAACATAATATGTATTAGTATTATTATTATTTTAATTAAACTATAAATTTTGTTCACATTTTTGAAAATATGCACTATTAAAACTTTATTAGTAAAAGTGCCGATTAAGTGGTGTAATTAGAAATTTGTCCTGGAGGAATAGATATTTCTTTACACACAAATTGCTAAATTTTCAAAAACAGTATTTTGTGATGACTGGAAATACATATATTATAAAAGTCTTGGGGATCTATCTCCCTMGTCTCCTCTTAATTACACCCCTAATTATTACATATCAATATTAAATTTATTATTATTTTTAAACAGTTTACCTAAATGTTTACACAATTACAGTATTTTAAGTACCTAGGTAACACATTAAAAGGGAATAATTTACATAATTTATGTTAAGATGATGTTTGTAAGAAAGTTAACAAAAGCAACAAATTATATCTCTTTAATTTCTTGTAAAATTGTTCTCTGCTTGCAATAGTGTTCTCCTTATCAATAATATCATTATGTACTTCAATCACAAGCAGCCAGAAAAATTATAATTTTGGACATGGTTGGTGTGCACTAGTCTTCAGAGGCTGATTATTATACAATGATATAACTTGGAAATTATACATGTTGTGGGTAGGATGAGATTGCCTATGTTGTGCTTAGAGAAATATGATATTATAGAAGTTCACTTCAATAGGCATCGGTGGCTAGCGGGGTGGAGCACAGTCCCATCACTTCAATAATAAGAGAAAAATAAAAATGTTTACAATAATATTTCTTCAATTATGAACCATTATTAATATTGTTTAAAAACGTAGGTACATCATTATGGGTATTATTTTTCAGATTTTAACTATCATCATTCAACATTTTAAAAACAAGTTCCACATAACTACTTTTTTTTCTATTTAGTGACCTGCCTTGTAAATTATTTGCTCTAATACAAAAAATTCTAAAAACATATAATACTATAATACAAACATTTATTATTAATTATATTATTACATTTTAAAATTAAGAATCCCTAATATTGGTTAATAATTAACATATTGTTGTATAGTACCAAAAAATTATAGAATCTGAACAAAACTATTGAATAGATACTTACACATTATCAAGCAAGAGAACACTCAGCATCCGAAAAAAAATTGGTACTTCTGAGTTTTCCCACAATACACTCAGCCATAGTGGAACCTATCTTGATGGCAGGGTGTTGCGTGGGGATGCACACAATCGATGTGTTCCCTTGCTTGACAGAGTATTTAAGTTAATATTCAGTAGCTGATCTTATAAAATTGCAAACTACTAAATTCAGTAGTTGTGGTTTAAATATTAAGAAAAGCCGCTATAAAATCTTAAATTATTTTTAAAACATTCTAAATTATAAAAAAATTTCCCTTGTTATATTTCTTAATAATAATACAATTTAAAAATATTTAAACAAAAAAAAATGATTTTTAACTCATCAATAACATTGAATGTCAACCATATTTTTTAAAGCTTTATTTACAGCCTGTAACATCTTTTCAACCCTTGTTCTATCTTCTATTACGCCATCTTCCTCTACAAGTACTTCATCAAATGAACRGTTTAAGACATAAGGAGTAAAAACAAAATCATTCAAATGATGTTCAAAATCGTCCAAAATTAATTTCACCATTTTGTGATGAATGCGCTTGGGTACAAAGTCTCGTATGATTTCTCTTATGAAATCAAAGTAGCACTGCGTTAAGCAACGGTGGATTTTTACTTGCTTTGATGTTTCAATAGTGTTATCTAAATCATTTAAGCCACATAACATTTGTTTGAATTGTTGAATTTTTAAATTTTCTTCCTCCCGTTCATCTTCATCATTGTTTTTCACTTTGGTTGTTTTTATTGAGTCATTCATATAAGATGTAAGAAATGAATCTTGCATTTCGGTAGATGATTTCACCAATTGAAATAAAAAATTTGGATTGGTTGTATTTAAACAAGTTTGGTATGTCTCTATGTAAGACTTTATAAATTCTTTTATGTTACTTAATTTGTCATCCAGCATCTTGTGAAGGACATTCCTTACCTGAAATGAAATATAAACATTTTTTATACAAATATTAAATACCTAGGCATACTATATTAATATCTATATGATTAACCTTGTTTTTAATGTTGTAATCAAATACTATGTAGGTAGGTATAAATAATTTCAAATTTTTACTGTATTTCTACTTTATATATTGTTTTTATATGTATGTATTTATTATTATGTGTGTGCCTACTTTAAAGATTTAATTCTAATTACCAATTTATCATTGATATTGAACACAAAATTATAATTTTTTATCTAATTCTTAATATATTTCAAAATCTTTTGAATTGTAAAAAAAGTACCTATTATAAATTTATAAACATATAATATTTTTTTTTTTTTTTATATACGAGTAGAAATACACAACTATAATTTAACTTAAAAAAAAATATTTATAAGTTAGTCATAACGATATATTAATAACAAAAAGGTCACTCTTTTATAGATGACCAGCTGTATTTTCATCCAGACCTTATGCCAGTTTTTTTTTTAAACAATTCATATTTAACTTATTATAATAATACTTACATCTGAATTTATCCGCGGAAATCTTTTTAATGTTTCTAAAATATTTTCGTCAATGCAATCAAAAATTTTCAACATTTCTACACGTACAAAGTCCACACTGGACATTGATGGTTCAATGAGATTATCCAATTGTTTGCAGATCATATTTTCTAATGCTTTTTCATTCACAAAAGAACTATTGGTTATTCCAGCAGTGTTTAATAAAATTATACCAATTTGTTCATCGGTCAAATTGTGTAATGGATCAATCTTGTTAATTTTTTCCACATACTCTTCGTTAATGATTTGTGCGATCCTCGCACCACCCATAACTATTTTGTCCGAAACATCTCTTCTATTACCCATTATAGTATCACAGTATGATTTGGATATATCTTTTAATAAACCTAATATAAAAGAAACCTTACTGTCGGGTGTTTGCAATGTTTTTAACTCACTTTCAAGTTTTGTCTTAGTATCTTGTAAGTTTTTATGCAATATTGGATAGGTTTTTTTTATATGTTTAATAAGAATATCTTGTAAAGTTTTAGCTAAAACTTTGTTACCGTGCTTTTTATATATATCAGGATAGTTTGATCTTAAAAAATCTTTTTCACTTTTTAAAGTTTCTTTCATAGATTTACACTCATTGATGTCTTTTTGGCTTCTATTAACGACTCCAATAATACCAAGTTTTACCGGGATTTTATGACCACAAAGGAGGTCTGTTGTGTCTTGTATTGTACCTTTATCAATCAGGTCTAACTTAGTGACAACTGCAATGGTCCTTTCCCCTTCCGGATCCATTTTTCTAGCTATTTTTAAGCTTTCAGATGTAGATGGGTCTGTATTTGCAGTGACCACTGCTAAAATGATAGAATTTGGCTGTTTGACATATTTTAATATAAGTTCTTGGATTTGTTCATCAATATCTTCTGGTTGATCACCAACAGGTACTTTGGTAATTCCAGGCAAATCAACAAAAGTCAAATCGTATGATAGAGTAAAAACTTTTAAAACAATGGGGTCATGTGTGATACCTTTGTTGGAACCAGCTAGAAAATCAGTCTGATTTTCTATTTCATATCTAACTTCATCAAAATTGTCGAAAATGACACCAGGTTTGTGAAGAAAACTTGCCCAGGTTTTAATTTCGCCATTTTTTGTTAATTTCAGCATTGCTTCTCTGTCTTCTTTTGAGTATCTAATCATTTGAAGGATTAAGGGTGCACGAGTTACAATGCCTGTACCTCGAGGTAAAAAAGATCTACCAACTAAACTTTCAAGAACTGAACTCTTTCCAGAACTTTGGGATCCGACGACAACAATTTGAGGTAAATCGATTTTATGATCACCAATCACAGCGAACACGTCTTGTAGCTTGTTTATAGTTTGTATTAATGAATCCATTGTAAAATGTTGATGAAGTTATACCTTAAAAAAAAAATATTCTTAAAATAATTGTTACTATAACATTATTTAATTCACAAAGTTGTCAATAATTAATTATTTGTGTGGTTTCACAAATATTATATAACTAATATATTATTATCTTCCACATATGACATAATGATTATTCTAGTTTTATTTTAATGATATTATTTTAGTAGGTAGGTTAATTTTGGGGTTAATTTGGAATAGACATAATTATTAAGTAATTTCAGAAATTATAATTTGTATTTCAAACTTAATTTAGTTTTTTTAAGTAAATTAATAAATAAAAAATAAAAAAGAATCAAACTAAAAGTCATGAAATCAGAAATAATATATATATTTGACAGAATTCAACTAGGTATTTAATAATTACATATGTATCTATTACAAGGTGTTATGGACGTTATGGTACCTACCTAGTACCTACAGTATATTATAAAATAAAAAAAACATACTTGGAATAATAATTCATCATTTGTAGGTTACTTGAAATTAAAAATTTACAAACTAATCACTCTTCAGTATAGATTTTAAATTTTATGAATAAATTAAATAAAACGAAATTATTTAACTATCTAACTCTATTCTAATACATTTATTTTAACAAATCAAGTTTTTGGTTTGAAATTAAAATATGCTTTTCTTAAAAAAAAAATTATTTTTGTGTATCTTGAATTTTAATTGGTAGAACACCAGAACTTGTTCATTATTAAATTAAAAAAATTTCAAGCTCATAACATTGTATTTGCTATAATTTTTTACTGTTTCTGTGAAAGTTACAAAAACAGAACTGTTTTTTCAAAATGTATTAATGTAATTGTTATTATTTAGAAAATAATAGATTTTACAAATAAAAATGAAATTATAAACTAGATAAAATGTTCTATCCAGCTATGTTATATACAGTGGCGGACTGGACGACCGGGATACCGGGAAATTTCCCGGTGGGCTGCTGCTGGTATAAAATATATAATATTTATTAATATTATAATGGTGAAATAATAAATTAAAATATTATCTAATAAGTAATAAGTACCTATGTAATATAAAATATTATTAAACATAAAAACCTAGCTTTCTGATTAGGTATTTTAAAATGCGGGACTGGCTTGTGT